TCGCACGCACGGGGGGTTTAGGAGAGGATTTGCATGCTCTGTGGCGCGTTTCACCCTCAGGGACGAACGGACGGAGAAGGGCCGAGGCCTGCGTGCGCCAGGACGGGCCCTGCACGGTTCTCGTTGCAGCCGACCACTTGGACTAAAGTAGGTGCAAAGCTAAAGTGACGATTTTGGGAAACTTTTGCTATCCCCTCTGTTTGCAGATTCAGTTACAACTCCCAAGGAGATGTTTTCGACGTACGTCTAATACCGTGAGAGACCCACCACAGCATCTTGCAAACCACCGCAGACGCACAGGAGACGAAGCGCTGCCGCTGCCGGGAGGGCAGGTGCTCCGCAGCGCAGCAGCGACGCTGCCCTGGCTCTGCCCGCGCGGCTCCCCCCGTTTCTTCTTCAAAATACTTTTTCATCTAAACAGGCTGGTAAAGTCAAACACCTCTTTACAGAATAAAGCTGTTTTTAACACAAAAACGCCTGTACAATCCTGTTTTACGCTCCTTTCCTTCGTGTCGCCGAAAGATTTTTGCAAAGCAGCGGTAGCACGAGCTCTGGCGTCTTCTAAGCGAAGCATTTGCCCGAGCGGTTTGAACGAGGAGGGCAACAGCCCTCGGCTCCTCGCCAAACCGGCCTTTAGCTGAGAACGAAACTCAGCACGCTTTCGTTTTGCTCCCCATTTAGTTCCATACCTTTTTCCATACCTTCATTATGGCAGAACAGAATTTAAATCGCCATTGCTATTTTCCCGAGTTTTACTTTCCAAGGTAAGTACGGCGCAGCGGCTAGGAGGACAGGCTGACGCTCACGCGGCTAACGCGATCTGCTCCGGGTGAGACCGCTGAGCGGCCCGCAGCATCCCCGCGCACTGCGGTTCCCGACTCCAAAGGTAAATTTGTTCTGGGCCGACTTTTACTGGAACTATTAATATTTGACACATGGCAATGAATACCACTAGCGCTATAGACAATATTATTTTATGATAAATACGGTATTATATCTAAAAGCGCTTAGAGACATGTATTTCACATTATTTATTATAGACTCAAAATTTTAGTCCTAAAACTCTTCTGCATTTTCACTCCATCACAACATTTTATCATCAGACTAGATCAAACCCTGTTCCCCCTATTCACGTTAATGCTGCCCTTAAAATCACTGGGGATTGCTATGCGTAAAGTGTTCCATGCAATTTAAATCATATAGTACTTCTTCCAGTCCTGTGAATGGTGAATTATAATTGCTTTAATAACTTAGAATGATGTAAAAATGAATCAAAGACAATAACTGGCTTGCGTATTACCTACCCCATATTGCACTTCAAAAGTCATCAGGAATGGATTAATTTGCCAAATCTTTTTTTCTGAGAAGAAAGGCAGAATCACTGTCAACAAAAAGTTTCATTAGTATATAGTAATGCTCCCTAATTTTTTTAATAGTTCTTTTTCCACACCCCCAACAAAACTGCCACACTCCAGAAAGCTCAGTATATTATTGCCATCTAAACGCCTAAACCTCTTCATTTTGGGGCCCAAATTACTCTTCACTTAATCTCCTTTACTATTACCTTGTAAAACTTAAACATCAAAAAACAAATAATTTTCTGTTTACTGCAGCGTAAGCTTATGGTTGGTGTTCCCTGCCCCGTTTTGCTTGGGTTTAGTTTGGGGTTCTCCTAAAATAGGAGGAAAGAAAAAAAAAAAATCAGTTTCCAGCACAGCACTAACCGCAATGCTAAGAAAACCAAAAAAACCAAAGCAAAACAAAACACCACCCTGCACATAAAATCGAGTCCGCTAAGGATCTGGGCTCTACAGAGTTCTGTGCTGTTAAACGTAATTTTGGAAGAGCAGTGATGGAAACGTACAGAGCGATAAACCCCCCCCTGCCTTTAGACTATGCCTGCACACGCAACGTCGGCACGCGAACCCCCTTGCAAAGCGCAGGAGACGCTGCAGAGCAAACGAAACGGGAAACGGCAGCCAGAAGGACATCGCTGGGGCCCACGCTACGCAGGTTCTGCGCGCAGGCAGCAGCAAGGCGGCCTGGAGAGCCGGGCGGCAGCAGGGCTTTGCCCCTACCCCGACGACACGGGGGTGGCATTTTCTCTCTAATAATCAACTTGTCGCGTCTGCAGGACTCTTACAACCCTCGGCACGGAGGTCCTTAATTTGCAGAGTTTTGGTCTCCGTGGTTTCTCAAACACGCCACGTTTCAAAACCACCACAGGAAAACAACGATAAAAATGAGTCAACTGAGTGGAAAGCAAGTCTCCGCACACGGGACGAGGTTTTCTCCTTCGGCCCCTGCCCCCGGCACTTTGCCGGGCCCGCTCAGCTTTGCTGCAACACGCCACCTCTCGCGAGGAAGGCCAACGCCTCCTTCACCAAAGACGCCCCATTTTCGGACGCATCTGCCGCCTGCCCCCAAGGAGCTGTACAGCTCCTGGGCGCGTCGAAGGAGAAGGTGCCGCGGTTACCATAGCAACGGTACCCTAGCAATAACTAACACCATATCGCTTCTGATGGCTTTCAACAAATAAAAAAGTGAGCACGCTCTAGATGAATAGTGTTTTTTATTTAGATACCTCCTCAGATTGCTATTTATATTCAAAACCACTACCGCGGCTGGGTGCAGCGTCCCGCCTTCGCCCACCAGCCCGGATCGCACCAAAGAAACAAGGCATTCTCGTTGCGACAGCGCTACGATCGCCAGGATTGAGTGAGGCTAATTTTATGCAAAAATACGTTGCCGAAACGTACAGTCACACCTGGGGGCAGGGCCCCGAGCAGCCTCACCCCGGTCAAGCCCCCTCCAGCCCCGGGAGCAGCCGGAGAGCTCAGGTCCGTGCCCCTGCGCCCTCTGGCAGGGGGCTCAGGCCCACCTCGTCTCCTGAGCCAGCATCACAGGGAAACACCCCTCGAGGAAGTTCTGCTTTGAATTCAGTTTTGCTTCTGTTGCACAGATACTCACAGACTGACGTTAAAAAACAAAAACAAACAAACAACACAACCATCCCCATCCCAAAGCCTCTCATCCGTTGGGAGCTCAGCACAGGGAAATGGTTGCTCGGGGAATCAAATCTCTTGAACTGGATGGCCAGTCTGTCCCAATCGTGACGGGGGTCTCCACTGCAAGGGACCTCGCAACAGCACCTTCAGCTGGATCATGAGACTCCCCAAACCAGTAGGGATCTATTACTATGTGATCTATTGTTAATCTTAAACTGCATACAAAACATCCAGCTATCTTAATTACATCCAAAAGACTATCTGATATTACCATTCCCGCAGGAACACTCTCTACTGCCTATTTACAAACATCTTACCTGTTGCACAACTTCTGCAGCAGGAAATACTCAGGAGAGGCTCGGGGACTGCCAGATCCTCCACCCAGGGAGTTCATCGACACTTTCAAGCATGTGAATTGCTCTATGGGAGGAATCACTGGCCCCATCCAAAATCCCTCCAGAGGAGCTCCTGCAGCATGACTAGCCGAGGACTTCCTGAACCACCCAGGGAACCGAGGACTTAAGTGCACACAGGCACAATCCTGACACCCAGCTACAGCATGACTGTGACTATAGGACCAACTTGAACTTCAGCATTATACTGGGCTCAGCTCAAATTCCATAGCTCTCATCATGCTTCTTACGCTAACAGATCAAAACTTAAACAGACGTAGTAGATTGGAGACAAATACTGCTATACCATTAATACCATTATAGCAGTATTGAACAGAAGGTTAGCTCAGAAGAATATTTACTGATCTCAAAGTAAGAATAAGTGGAGGTTATATCTCAACTCAGGGTAAGCTGTGGTTAGGAATTCCCCTCGGAAGAATCATTAGCTGCCGTGCAACCAAGATAAAGCTCTGAGCACTAATGGCACGAATGACAGGTAACGGCCCCGGGTCACATTACTAGCATTCAGTGATTCTGATTACTATGGGGTGGGTTTTTTTGTTTTTTTTTGCTTGTCTGGGTTCGTCTAGTCAGTTTTTATCACTCTTAATCTGTGAAAAGAGGTGAATTTCACCCTAAGGCAAACTCGAGCCTTTGCTCCTGAAAAAATGTTCCTGCTTTTCCACATGAGACACTACATTGACAGACAGACATCTGATTCACCGTGGTCAAACAACTATGGCACTTTCCAAATAGTAAGCTTTTTCATGTAAATACCTAAAGAGCAATTTGGTAGTCTCATACACATGAAGACCAGGGAACTGTAGAAAGGCCTGTTTGCATAATTTTCTGCAATAAATGCTGTCTGCCCATAAGTACAAGCAATAGAGTGAAAAATCGCATTAAGGCAATACAGGAGGATTCTGCAACAAGTACCTTGTGATTGATGATCATCGACCGAATGTTTATACGTATCAGACTCAAATGTCCTGCACTAGATGGGAACATAGGACTAGCAAAGGGTCACCCTGCTCACTGGACCAAGTGTCCTGCTCACAGTAAGCAATGCAAAACACATCAGGACAGTTCAGAAAGGCTCACTAAACACCTATTCCACATACTGCTGCTTAACACTGGCCAAAACAGCTTTCCCCGAAAGCCTACAACACACTCAAAGGTTACTGGTAAAACAAAAGTGGCTATTGCAATATGCTGCAGAAAGCAAGCAGGTTCTGAACACCCTATTCTACCTGCAGAAAAGCTGAGAATTTAAGCAAAACTCACAGATGACTCTTGAAAACGGATGCCCAAGTTAAAAGGGTAGGATTAAAAAGGCAACAGCAGTCAGCAGTAAGTCCTGGAGGAAAATGTGGTTTTGACTTTAAAATCTGGCTGCTTAACTCTTCTTAAGAGTAAGACCTAGGAACCACGCACACGTGATTCCTAACCTACCAGGAAGCCTCAGCTATCCGGTCTAGCTGCAGGAGCACCCAGGGCTCGAGCACGAAGCAGCCCCCTCCACCCTGCACTACCCCACAGCCCACCCAGTCTTAACTGAAGGAAAAGAAAAAAAACCCTTCCTTTTGCCTCGGAGTGACAAATAAGAGCTGAGGAACAATGTAATAACTCAGTACATATAAGATACCAGTAAACAGTAACTCAGTTTACTTTACAGTTCCTTTGAAAATACAAAAACATGAGACTCGGGAACTTGTGGTCTTTAAGATCATGACTACAGGCAGACAATAGTCTGTAAGTGTAACGACTTCTTGGTTCATACAGGCATGTCCATACTACTTTTACTGGAAACACGTACGACAAATTGAGGAAATTATTTATCGATTATACTAGATGTTTAGAAGGAAGGCAGACAGATGGCATAAAGAGCGC